GGTAAAAATTTCTGGAGGACTATGTTTCATATTTAGACTCCTATTTTTTCTTTTTTAAATCAGATTATTCCTTTAGGTAAAGTAGCTTTATACAGTAACATTTCAGAGAAGCAACTCTGAATATGTTCAAAAAACAAGATTATGAAAGAAATTTCAGAGAGTCTTCAAAAGCTGGTTGTGCTGTCATCCAGTCTTAACAGGACTCTTGGTGTGATGCACTTAACCAAGTAGACAGGGATTCTGAAGTTAGAGTTGGAGAAGCTATGTGTCTTTTAACTCTGGCAACACAACATATTCCACATGCATAAATCAGTAGTTGAACACCACACAGGATTAAATTGGTCAGCTGTAATCATTCTATTCTTCTACTTCTGGTATTTTACAAGTTTCACAATATTGCCCTCTTTTCTGGTTATTTTTTAAGGAGGACATTTCTAGGAATCCTCTAGAAATAGGGCAAAAGTAACTATAAAAATAAAAGAAATTTAAATCAGTAGGCTTCCTGGCAATACCAGCTGAAAGATTCAAGTAAAAAAAAAAGACCATACAGAGAATATAAAAATGTTGTTGCAATTTCAGGAACACCTAGGTTAGAATTTTACTTTTCTCCCCTGGCTTTTAAAATTGAATGTGTATGTTTCTTATGCAAAAGTATGTGCCTCTTCTGTTCTCTTGACGGTCCTGTGCCATCCTCATCCATGTTGTTCTTTGATGTCTCCAAATATTCTGTAAAACAAAACTATTAACATCAGTCCTATTATTTATCCTCCCATCCTTTCCTCAAAAAAAGGTGTGTATACAATAGAGCATTTCATTTTGGTAGGGGTTTGAGGTCTTTGGACAAGAAAGAGAAAATGTGAGAGGCTTGATTTCACTGATTGTTTCATTTTTTAGTCTTTTGCAAGTGTATGTGTTGCAAATCAGAGAAAATGGGGCAAAAAGAGAAAAAAAACCCCAAAACAGTACAAAGGTTCAGGTTAGAAACTGGAACATAGAAAACATGGAAGCTGAATTGCAGAAGACTAGGCAAGAGATTCCAAAATTTGGCTTCAGATATTAAAACCTTAACTCTCTTCCACTAAAATAATATGGGCAGAGAGGTAGGTAGATTAACAGATTTTAACACCAGTTGGTGTCTTTTATGATCATCTCCCCTAAGTCTTGAGTATCAGAGCCATAGAGTTACATGCAGTGCTTCAATGATGGTAGCTTAATTATAACATCTCCTGTAAGAAAATTTAAGGAACTAGTCTGAAATACTACAATTGTGAAATGCCCAGGGATGGAGGAGAATCCATTGTGCTTATTTGAATTCTGTACATCAGACTACATTTAAAGTTTATCTGCTCAAGTGTGTTTAAAGAATTTAAAATCTGGGGATAGCAAGAGCAAAGGAAGTAAAAACAAATAAAATAGTTATAAAAATTTAATGGTAATTTACAGTAGATAACCAAGTTTAAATATGCTGTTCATGTGATGCTATCTTTAATTACATCACTGTGAGCTTTGTATTTTGAGTAGCGTGCGTGCCATCTTAGTTTGAGAAATAAATTTTCTTATGAACTGAAATTAGTGCTGCATGCTTTGTTTAGTGTATTTTCTATTAACTCTTTCAGTTACGTCCAGAGAAATTAGAAAGCCATGATGTTATTTCAAGGGATATTTAATTTTCAGTTGACTTGAAAAGAAGGACAGTACCTGTCAATTACAATATATTGTCAATTGCTCAGGAATGATAGTACGATGTTTCTGGAGGGAAATCTATTTCTAACATATTGTGTTTTCCTATGTGTAATAAGCTAACATGAGAAGAAGGAGTTTAGCAGCATAAAGCACCCAGTGCAAACCTGGGACTGTGGCACTTGAAGTGAATGCTGCTTCATTCTCTGAATGAAAACATAATCGCAAATGCAGTTTTGTTTTAGAGCACATGAGTTTAAAAAACAAACAAACCATATATGTAATCCATAGAGCATACTTGTCTGCCTAACTGATTTACCTGTTTTTATAGCACCAACTTAATAGTGGAAGCACAAGCTGAATTCTAGCACAGCTCACTCACCAGTAGGATCAGTATCCAGCTTTAAAAGGCAGGGGCAAAGTTTTTCTGTAATTATACCTCTCTAACTCCAGTGAGCATACCAGTTTGCAGAGGGATTTCATGTGGAGCCAGAATGGCTGCCACAGGGACTTCATGTCATACTCATTGTAGAATCTTTATAACTAAGTACTCAGGGAGATAACCCTGCATGACTATTAGGCTCTTGGCTGAGTTAGCAAGACTGTCACAAAAAAAAAAACCTTCAGCCAAGCTTTCTGAAGCACTCCATTCCGTGAAAAGATTATTATCTTACCTCCACGGTCTGCCTAACTGCTACTGTCAGTTAATATAACAAGTTTTAGAGTAGAATTCCATTATTTCTAATTTTTATGAATTTCTCATTAGAACGTACAAAACTGTGGCCACACCATTTTTCTCTCTTTTAAACACATGATGTAGCCTTCTAAGTTAATATATCAGGTGCAAAAGTTTTGACATAACAGCCTTAGAAACTAGCTCCACAGCACACATTATTTGTGTTATTTGTGTGTACAGTATTTGTGTATTACTATCTGTTCTCAAGAGTTGTTGCTACAATAATTTCCACAGCTGAGCCCATAGCAGTGCAAAAGTAATCTTTTCTATCTGATCTTCACCATTTTTTTCACTAGTAAAAATGATGGTCCAGATTCTCTGTCCATTGTGTTGTTTGTGCCTCAGGCAATATCATTAGTGCTGACAGCCTCCTGTAACAGCTGTGGCCTTTCTTTTTCCTGTGCACAGGTCTGTATTCCTTTGCCATATGGATATTTCTTTTATTATCCTTATTTGCTGTTCAGTGAGTTAGTCTCTACATCATCACAGAATCACACAGAATCACAGAATGTCAGGGATTGGAAGGGACCTCAAAGGATCATCCAGTCCAGCCCCCCCTGCCAAAGCAGGATCACCTACAGTAGGTCACCCAGGAACGCATCCAGGTGGGTTTTGAATGTCTCCAGAGAAGGAGACTCCACAACCTCCCTGGGCAGCCTGTGCCAGGGCTCTGTCACCCTCACAGGGAAAAAGTTTTATCTAATGTTTTTGTGGAACCTCCTGTGCTCCTGCTTGTACCTGTTGCCTCTTGACCTATTATTGGACGTCACTGAAAAGAGCCTGGCTCCGTCCTCCTGACACTGCCGCTTGACGTATTTATAAACATTAATAAGGTCACCCCTCAGCCTTGTCTTCTCCAAGCTAAAGAGACCCAGCTCTTTCAGCCTTTCCTCCCTTCATCATCTTTGTGGCTCTGTGTTGGACTCTCTCAAGCAGTTCCCTGTCTCTCTTGAGCTGAGAGGCCCAGAACTGGACACAGCATTCCAGATGTGGCCTCACCAGGGCAGAGTAGAGGGGCAGGAGGACCTCTCTCGACCTACTAGCTACTCCCCTTCTAACACACCCCAGGATGCCATTGGCCTTCTTGGCCATGAGGGCACATGGCTGGCTCATGGGCATCCTGCTGCCCACTAGAACCCCCAAGTCCCTTTCTCCTACACTTCTCTCCAGCAGGTCAGTCCCCAACCTCTGCTGGCACATGGGGTTATTTTTTCCCAAGTGGAAAAATCTACACTCGCCCTTGTACTTCATAAGATTTCTCCCCACTCAGCCCTCTGAGAGGCGTCCCTGCCTGTGACAGGGAGGTTGGATTAAATCATCTCTAAGGTCCCTTCCAGCCTAGGCCATTCTATGATTCTGTGATTCTATATTCAGTCTGATGGCAAGCTATCCCATGGAAGACCACAAAAAAGTCAAATCTATGATGAAATAAAATAATCTTCGTTCTTCCCTCCCAGTACTGTTTGCATTTTGAATAACAATTAACAGAACAAGTAAGGCATTATATGAAGGTGCTAGGCACAACTTGTTACTGCTGTTAATATACCTTCCGAAAAAGACATCAACACATGGTTAAAGTATGCTCGCTAAGATCCTTTTTGAGCTCAAAGATGAATAAGTTACATTTGTGTCAAAGATATTTTTCTTCCTTAGTTTCTGAAATTTCATTTCTTTTCTGCAAAATAATGCTACTCTGATGTTGACTATCCTCATAGTATTTTTGCTTTCCTATACAAAGGAATCTGGCCAGTCTGTGATGATCTGACTCAATAAACATGAAAATACAAATGGAACACAAATGTACAATAAACAGGTAGTGGTGAATTATTAACTACTGTGGTTATAGACAGTCAAGTTTTACAGTCACAATGCTCACATTACCATGGTTACTTAATTGCATGTCTACAGTCATAACTGTAAATCTTTTAAACAATTAAAAAATACTTTATGAGCAGTTTCATATAATACTGTTGCCAGAAGTTAAGCTGACCTCAGTATAACACCTGCCTCAGCACTTTCCCCATTTTCAGTTTCTGGCAATGACAGATACAGGCAGAGGAGTGGGAACAGTCAAGACTTCAAAAAAATTTTAGTCAAAATAAAGTAAACCTGTTGATGAAGGCAGAGCCTACCAGGAATGAGCCTTACTTGCCTTGAGCAACCTGAGGTAACAGGCCTGAGCAGCTTCTTCCCATGGCTTTTAGTTTGAAAGTGAAAATGTTAACAGATCTGAAGAAGGTGAAGCTATTATGTAAGTGAATAGGGAAATAAATTGCAACCTACTTTCATAAGTCAAAGAAGTGTAATTCATCACTAAAACTAGGGAATCAGAAAATCTCAAGTCTCTTTGTCTTAGAAAAATCTAGGGAAACAGGATTTTTGTAAAGAAGCAGAAGCAGCAGATGTGCTGGTCTGCTACGAGTATTTTTTAGAAGTGCAACCGACTATTAGGTATTTAGAAATATCTTGAATAAGGAAAAAGTTCCTGCGTAGAAATAAACGATAATAAATAATTATCTCTTCAAAATAGGAAATTTCTTCTGAGACTGTTTTTTAGTGGTTTGTTTTTGTGGTTTTTTTGCAGGTGTTGCTGCTTTGGATTCCAGCGTTTCTGGAAAGATTGGTTTGCGAGCAGTCATATACTATTTCTGCACTACAGTCATTGCTGTAATACTAGGTACTCTGTGGTACTCTAACCTTTAAAATCCTTTCCTAATTTTAAGTATTCATCACTGTGACATTACTGACTTCCAAACATGGCATGGGGAGAGGAGACAGGAATCATGCCAAACACCTTGACATGCGTGTACCCATATACAGCAAGAAGTTAGTCCTGCTGTTCACAGCTGGCATGTGTTCATACCCAGTATGAAGGCATAGGCAATTTCGCTGCCCATTTCAGATCAGAAATTAGGGGCTGTCTGCTTAGGTAAACAGTGAAAGCTGAATGAACATCAAAGGCCAGCCTTAGCTACAAAGTGAATTTCCGTAATAGCAAAACCATAGATTGCCACTGATTCTCAGATATGAGAATGTGTAATATGTCTCACCTGCAAGAACGACAGAAACTATTGCTTGATTGTCGTCTCATTTCCTTCCTGAAAGGCTTTTGTCCCCTCTGCCAGGCTCCACTCCTGTCTCGAAGAGGCCCATGTCTCATTCCCTACAAGCAACCTTGAAATTTCCACAGTTCCTTAAACAAACATCATCAGCCAGCCGTCGTAAATAAGAAGTAAAAATAAACCCTCCTTAGCCAGATGTCAGGTAGTTTGTGGCTCATCTTTCTATTTTGTTGGGCCTGTGTGTGGGCACATCTACTGTGCCTAGATATTACTCACCTAAAAGAAACATGTATTTATTGAAGGACAAAAAGTACATCCTATATGGCCTACTTCTAAAGCAAAGCGGTATTTAATAATAGAAAAAGAATCACATATAGACATATAAGACTAGATTAATTTCTAGAGATTGTATCACTGAGTAACGTATGGCTGCGGATACACCACGTAGGCTATCTCATCTGTCTGGCAATTTTCTGTGAACACGTGAGGAAGGTAAAGACTTACATTAATATGCATGTAATTTTGAAATAGTTACTGTTGTGAGAGGGAGGTTAAATCATAAAATCTCCAGAGGTCCCTGCTATTCTAAGTTATTCTATGACACTATGATACTACGTTTCATTTTTCAGAGTTACACAAATTCAGCTCTGCTTTTATTCACAGCTATCATTAGAAGGCCTTGTTGCTGACTGATTGAAGGGTCATCCAAATGCCTCTTTCTCCCTATACTAAGAATTAGTTGTTTCATTTGGTTTAGGTTTGTTTGGATGTGATAGAGAAAACAACAAAAAAAGTGCAGTTGGAAAGGCATAGTGTATAATGTGCTTAAGACGAAGACACTAAAGTAAACAGAAAATTTGCCATTGATTTCAGTATTCACAAGGTCAGAGCTACTTTCTTACCCGTGATTTTTTATTTCAGTCTGTTTCTGAAGCCCTTCTCTTAAGTAACTTTATTGCTAACTAACTTTACCAAAACACCCTGTTGTACTTTGGGGTCACAGGACAACACACTTGTATTCATATTTGAAAGCTAGTTAGTAACAAGAAGAGCTGCATGAGGGAAAAGGTAAATAGCAGTTCAAAATATCACCATGCAAAAGTTGCAAAACACTTCAGCTGAAGCCCAGAAGTAATTTACCCTCCTGGTGAGCAGTGGTGATGATTTAGTACCATACATGCAAAACCAAAGCCAGAGTGCCCAAGTCCAGTGGCAATGCCGCAAGTATCTTCGGTGTTGGAGGAACCCACATATTTAAAGGCAACACCTGTAGACTTCCCTTTTCTAAAGACCCCTGCATGAGCACTCAGGGAAAGCATCTGGTGAGTTTAAAGAATTTCCCTCCACAGGATACACTGAGGTAGGATGCACCAGTGCCTCTGCTTGCACAGTGAGCTATTCGTTCTCCTTCTGCAGGGATTGTCTTGGTTGTGACCATTAAACCTGGAGTGCCTCAAACAGCAAATGAGATTGACAGAGTGGGCAGTACCCCAGAAGTCAATACTGTTGATGCCATGCTGGATCTGATCAGGTGAGGTTTGCTTTTCTAGTTCCCATTCTCTTTTTGCAGAAGTCCAAACAAATACAGAATTGTGATGTGTGATACAATGAAAATGCTTTCTAATGTTGTTTGGATGAATAAGGAGAGAATAATTTGCTTTCCAACAAGTTAGACATTTTAAAGTATATTCGAAGGAGTTTGTTAAAAAAAAATTCTCTTTACACCATAGACTTTGGTTAATAAACCAGTGACAACAAAAATTCCCTCATTTACGGAAATTGGGATGCAAGATTAAAGAATTAGGAAGAAAATTTCCAGAAAGGATTGAATGGCTGGCAAGTTACTGACTGGCAGCTTCTGTGTTATCTAGCATAGTGAAACACCTAAAATTGCAGTGTTATATTTCACCCCCTCAAGGCAGGATGCAGAGCAACAGATGTAGTCTGCAAAGGTTTCTAGGATTGCACAGTCAACAAGTTTGCTGCATCACTAGTATCTTAGGCAGCCTTATAGTCAGTCTTTCCCCATGAGCATCCCGGAAGATCATAGATGGTTAAAGTGGTTAGAAAAAGGAAACCCCTAGAAAAGTCCACAAGAGACTTGAGCACATTTTCAGAACTAACATGTTAAAGGAATTAGAAAAAAAAAACAACCACCACAAAAATGGCTGCATTTACAATGGTAGCAAAGTAGTTCCCTCAAAAATGTTTCTGTGGATCATTTTTTTTCTCCAATTGCAATTTATCTCTTCATCTCTGCTCTGTATCATATTCCTGCCCACTGTTTTCTTTTTGTAGAATTTTTATTTAATGTATCATGTAAGAATCAACTGCTACGTATTTAAAATTGGCTTTCTCAGCATTTTTTACTTCAGGAAATGCGACTGGCATTTGAAGATGCTATTCCAGATACACAGTGTGACATTTGCAAAATACACACACATTTATTTACTTAGCAGTATGTATCTGCCTTGAAAAAGTCACTGTCCTATTTAATAGCAAATGTATGCTGTTATTTGGGGTATCTGCCCCAGCACAGGTCAAGGTAGACCTTTTTGAAAATAACAATTTCTCTGGTGTTTGTATGAGAGATAGTTAACAGTCCTCAACCCCAAACTCCTATATTCAACAATTCACAGCTCTTCCCAGCCTCTGTGCCCTCCTGCCTGTGCGTGGCCAAAATGGCGTCTCCTTGGATGGCTCATCTCATTCCTCATGGTCACTTGCCCAGGAACCTATGAGGGGAACTTTTCAACCAGCTGCATTCTAAAATCTAAGGCAGTCTGTTACCAGTAGCTTCCACATGAACATTTCCACACATACTCACAGGGCTGATGTAGTTCCATGCATAAAAAAAAGTGTTCCTGTGGTAAGAAGTGGTGTGAACTGCAATTTGGAGTAGTTTGGACTTTTGCTACAGTTTATAGCTCAACTTCTTGTAAACAAATTTAAGACTGTGAATTAGGAGTATGAGGTGTGAAATTCTAAAGGAATTATAGTTACTTTTCCTAATTATTTGTATTAATCAAATTTACGATCCAAATCAAGACAGTATTGTAAAGATTAAGGAAAATCTCAGGTTTGTACAAACTACTCTTCCCTTTGAAGAAATTTTGCTTTAAAAACCTGAAAGATAAAGGGATGAGCATGTGAAAGATCTAGAAGGGAGATAAAGACTTCTGCTTCAGTATATAAACTGCCCTGCTCTGGATTAGGTATTCAATAAATAACTAATTAATGCTTTTTTTCTGCAATCATTTGTATCTGAAGTTGGCAGCTGGAAAGGAGGCCACAACTGGATTGCACTGCTGCTGACGTAATTTACTATTTTTCAGTGTGCAAAAGTGATTCTTGACCCTGGAATAACACATGTGAATCTTTCATCAGCCAAGATTAATTTCTGAATTCAAAAATTCACACCAAATATCTGGTTCTTCCAGCACAGTTATTTTTTTTTCTGCCTATATTTGACAGATCCTATAAAAATTGTGTGTCCGGTATCACTCACGCAAATGATGGAAATGATGCAGCAGGGAAAAAAACGACTGGATAGTCACAAATGTCAAATACTGAAAAATAAGCCTGAATATTCAGCAGTAGGAAAAAAGTCAGCTGATTGTTGGGACTCCTGAACCTTTAATTTCTTTGGATTTTATATCTGATGATGCTAAGTATACTGCTTTCTAGATAAAGGAATACAACCTGATCTGGTTTTCAAGCAGCGGATTGGATCATTTTGTTTATAACAACTTGCTCTTAGTATGCTATGACCTTGAAATACCTCTAATTTTTAACAGAAATATGTTCCCAGAAAACCTTGTCCAGGCCTGTTTCCAACAGGTAAGATTGAAAATTCATCTTTGCCACTGTAATTTTCACTGTGAACTACAAAGTGTCTCCAAAAACTGTGTCAGGTTAAGAACTATTTCTGAGAAATCCAGGAGTATATCTATTTCCCATAAAAAGAATTTTTTTAGTGCATCTTGGTTTAATTTCCCTTATAATAAACACTCAGTTGTCAGCTGTTAAGTCTCTGATCATCCCTTGCAAAAAGACAATGTCTAGGAACTGGGTGCAGAAACCAAATGGTGCATGAGACAAGTTTTTACCTGTTGGGGCAGGCAAAGTTAGAAGAACCATGTCTTGAGGCTTTCCTTGTTCGTAAAAACCCTCAGTGCTTATAAACTCTGCATAACTTAGCCCTCACGTTGATCATCTAATTGCCAGACCTGATCATCCAGGAAAAACTGCCAGTCAGCAGAGCCTGTTGGAGACAGCTTTCAGAAAAAGTGTGGTTTGCAAGATGGAAGAGGAAACTCCTCTGTATATATCAGACTTACTTCAGATGCAGTAATCTTTATCAGGAAATATATCAACTATTTTTCCATTATATTGTCTCTGCTTCCCTTTTTTGTCTTCCCCAGCAGTTGCCTGCTAGTTTATCTGAGATTTGCATGCAAGGTAGTTAACTTTTCTCGGGAAATATGTTAACTGTCCTGCTGTGCACAGCACTGAACGTATTTCCAGTTTATAAAACTTCTTTTTTCTCCTATGTTGGTTACATATTCTCATATGTTAATTACATACCCAACACTATGGAGATAGAAATGTTCTTTTAGGGATCCTTGGCAGAGTCATGACAGCACTTGATCATAGTTAAAATTAAAGCTTTATTTTCTTAGCAAGGTATTGTGATTAGTGTAGCACAGAATTTATAATCGGCATAGCTCACAATTTCTGTAAGCAGAATCAGTGTAGTAAAATTTTATAATAACAATTTTTGGAATAATTTTATAATATATTAGCTTAAGGTTTGTAACCATCTGGAATCACTTGTGGATCATTTGTTTAATCTACAGCATCTAAAGTACAGAACCATGATGGCTCATGTGATTTGGGAAATAACATATTTGTCTATGCTTGCTACCTTCAAATCACATTGGTTCATTTTCCTCTTATTTTTACTGGGCATAGGCTATGCCTTTTGCCATTCTTCAGTTTCTTCATATTTCTAAAGAAGTTCCTCTTATTTTTAAAAAAAACCCCACTTTTCCAGTACAAAACCAAACGTGAAAAAGTTGAAGCTACAACTGGCGTGGATAAAAACAGCTCCACATTTACGGAAGAACCTGTTACGACTGCTACAACAGCGGGAGCTTCAGAGGTGTGGCCTTTATTGTTGTATTTCTTCATAATATAAGAAGTGGGGAAAAAGAATATAGAATTAATTTGTTTAGTTGATGTGGTTAATGATTGAGAAAAGAAAGGAAGTGGTACATAAATAGATTTTAGCAAGAACATCAAACTTAATAAATAAATGCTAGCAGTGATTATGAGGATCTTCAGGTAGGTTGAAGAACGTGAGAGGACTCCACTAGTAGTTAGGCAGTCCAAGGATAATAGACAATGTGAGAAAATAATCTATTAGTATGTGCTATTAAATGTATATGCCGATGAAATGTCAATTTGCTGAGAAATCAAAGACCACAGTCACTGTGGAAATGCGAGATGTATATCAGCATGAGGTGTTCAAACATCAATGAAGTAAGGGCTGCAGAAAGAAAGGAATGGAAAATTGTGTATTTTTTTTTTAAATGAAAGGCATTTGTTAATTAATAGTTCAGCACTCTGTAAAAAAAAAAGAGAAGTGAAGAAGAGGTTAACCAAGCCCCTGACTAGAGGTGTGGAGAGCTTAGGGGTGCTGATGGTCTATAAAGCCTAGACTTACATTGGAGGAGAGGGAGAACGGAATTCAATAGAATGTGAACACAGAACTGTGGACAGTAGCAAATCAATACGCATTTTATTATACTCCTTCCAAGTTTCATCTCATAGTAATAAGAGCATGGGAACATGAGCCATATGAAAAGACATTAATTAAATCCTGAAGCAGAATGTAGTGGAGAGAATTGCACCCTTTCTTTCATATGTTCATACTGCACAACCACAGAGGAATACTTATCTAATACATAATAACCTTACATTATGTGCATTCCGTTCTGTTATAAATTGTGCAATTTCACTGTTTTCAGCTAAAAAATAGATTTTCAACTTGGGTCAAAAGCGAACACCATTTCTTGGTTCTTAACACAGTAGACTATTTATCTTTAATCCAGATACAAACCCTCTAATTGCTCAGAAATAACCACAGTGACTCTGCATCAGCTGTGTTTTGTTCTACACAGTAGGGAGTGAGTCTTGAGTATGTTGAAGGCAAGGCTGGATACCTGGACCTTCATTTCAGAAGTCTGTAGAAAGGGAAACGTAATTAAGGGGTGCTTCATCTGCTGCTAGTGTTTGGTCAGACTGCTGCATAACTTTAAAATACAAAGCTTTCAAAGACCATGTAGTTCTACTCCCATTCATGACCTTGCCCACTTGGCACTGCAAGAAAGAGAGGCAAGTGACTGGGGAAGAGCTCCATGTCTTTTGAAAGAAAAATCTAAATGTGTTTTCAGTTTAGAATTCTTTAAATTCAGTGCTTTCAGATAGTAACTTTTTTTCTCTTGAATTTAATCTGTAGAACAAAACCCAAGAATACAAAATTGTGGGCGTGTATTCCGATGGCATCAATGTTCTGGGGTTGATCGTCTTTTGTCTTGTTTTTGGAATGGTTATTGGGAAAATGGGAGAGAAAGGACAAGTGCTGGTGGATTTTTTCAATGCTCTGAACGAAGCTACAATGAGAATAGTTCAAATAATTATGTGGTAAGTCCAAGGACATAGTGGCATTTTCTAACAACTTTAAGTGGGTTTCATTGTTGAAGGAGCAGACTCATACTTAGTGTTTGCTTTTGGATAGTACTTTGCAGCAAAGAACTTTAAAAGAAAAGCTGATGAAAAACTCACTTCCTGCAGAATTTGATCCTTTTGAGGAAACTGGAGGCAGGGCTTCTGCTTAATACATACTGAAGAAACTTTTATTGGTACGTAAGAAATCTGAGTTTTTCAGAGATTCTTGCTAGAGATTTGTATCAAACCAGTACAACTGCACCAGTGATTTCAAGAC